CACCTTAAAAAAGGATGTGTGGAATATGCAAAAAGCATTTTCAAATCTGTGTCAGTGTTTCTGCAGCTGACATCCTCCTACAGCAGCATTAAAGCAGCGTTAGAAAAGCATTTTTTGTATTTCTGCTTCTAGTAAGAAGAGGGAATTCCACTCAACCACAGGGAAACTCTTCTACCCATTGAGAGAGATGGGCTTCCAAATTAGCATGTCATACTACTTAGTATACAATAAATGATTGACCAATGATTTTTATTTCCTATTAGGAAACTGATTTCCTCTTCAGGTTTTCTTAACACAGAGCTATAGAAGAACAGCCAGGTCCTAACTTTCACTAATCAGTACCACTTACAACACTAAAATTGTAGCCCTTGGTTGTTGTCTATTAGAAAATCTGACCTAAAATACCTAAACTGCCTTGGAAATGTAATTCTCACCATCACATTAAATTTATTGACTTCCTTGGCATATTTTCAAAGGCTGCTGTCTGCTAAGCTAAAGACCATTTTGCTTCACATATGCAAAAAGGACTTGTTTTTACTGTGATTTTAAGGTAGCTGAAGAAACCAGCTAGACTAATCCCCCTTTCTATTTCTTACCTAATTTTCTTTTACATCTTGGAAGCCTTTTCTTTTGCCTCAGGAGGGGAAAGCAACTCCAGTAAAAATGAAAATCATGCCCTTTACATTCTAGCCTCAATACATCATTAAATCTTCATAATTACTCATTAATAACCATCATTAGTTGTTTCCTGTAAAATTATTTATGATATATAGCTCCAAGAACAGTGATTTTCTATCTACACAGAGGCTTAAGATTGAAAAAATTACAATTATGTGGAATTTTAGGACAATAAAGATCTGTAAATACATATTTTGCTTATTACCCTATAACAGGACTTATTCTCCACATATTACTTCTCTTGTCTAAATAATTATGCATCTTAGCTGTGTGTATCACCTTGACCAAAGGATTGCACATAAACACATATTTTTCTGTTTTCTATCGTGTGTATCCTAAAGCACTCATTGACACACACAAAAAAGAAAAAAATAGGGGAAAGAGCATGAATTGTAAAAACATACAGATAAAATAAAACTGAAATTACTGAGCCAGAGTGGGTTTTTTTATCCATCTATGGCATTTTTCATAACAAGGTACCTAACTGCATTCATAGCATCAGTTCAGATGCACTCACAGTAGTGCATCAACACAGAGAGATTGTCCTATTAAAAGGAAAATGTGGAGTAGGATTATTACAGCTGCACATATTCATTTTATGAAATAAACAACCCTGATGCTGCTGCTTTAAAATGTGTCCCTTATGGCAATAGTCTCAAATTCACTAAAAAACAATGGGTCTTTTCAGGAATGATTCTATTGCAAGTTCAAAAAAAAGATAATGTATGTGGAAATATGCTTTGGGAGGGAATTACATCCATGACAAATACATCATATTCTCAGCAAAATATGCTCCTCTCTCTCCACCCAAAGTCATCTGAAAAAACTTTGCCTCAAAGATTTAGGGAAGGAGAACTTCCTAGGGAAGAGAACTTTCATTTTCAATTATTTCTTACACTGCATTTGAGGAATGTGGCATGAGCTTATGATGAACCCTTGTGCTCCCTGGGCTTTGACTAGTACCAGACTTAGTTTGAGTTAGTTTGCACTGGATTTCAATGACACAATAGCAAAAGTCAGGGGAACTTCAAGGCTCCTGAACACTGGTTTAAACCTTTCTTACCAGGTCTGTACAACCGAAGGCTACAAAGAGATAACTGTGAGCCCACTTGTCTCCTTGTAACACAAGACAAGGAGTCTTATCTACAAGTCCTGCAAGCTGCTCTACAATTCAGTAATTGAGCCCTACTCCATAATCAATCAAGCCTCAGTGTAAAGAAGGCTATCTTTGTATACCCTCAGTGTCCCACAAAACCTCATTAACATCTGTTTTAACAAAAAGTAACTGGAAAGAAAATAATATATTTTCAAAGTAGAAGCAAGGATAAGCAAACTGAATTTTGTTTGCTTCATTGTTTGCCTTGGCTTCTGAGAAAGAATGAGCCTACCAAGTATAGCAGTATATTTTGTTCAGTGGAAACAGGTGTTTCTTACTGGAAGATTCAATATAAATAAATTTTCTTGATCTTAAACAACTAAAAATTACTCAAGGAAGTCCTGTACTGGACAAATTCTGTCAGCCCAAGAAAAACCCACTTTCACTGCCATTCTTTTCAATAAGAAAAATATTAATTTTGTGAGAATACACCAAAGTATTTATGTAGAAAGCCAAGAAGCATCACTACACTATTAATAGTTTTCAGGATTCAAACTGTAAAGCAGTAATTCCCACACAGGAGAGGTTTCTAAAAACAAAACAGAAAAAGAAAAAAAAAAACAGAAAAAAAGAAGAGTTCCAAAGATCACTCAGCAGGCTTTGCTAGTGCCACCAAAAAACCAAACACCCCAAAGTCAGGAAATTCTGTGCTTTGCAAAATAGGTCACAAATATCAAATCATACCATCATGTCAGCAAGCCAGTTCCCTTCTCCTATGAGATATATTTAATTATTATGATTTTAACTTAAAATGGGCAAACTATCTTTGGAGGAAAAAACCCTCAAAAACTGTATTCTTCATGTTCAGAAGAATTATGTCGTTGCAACACTCAGTTTTTGTGCAACACAAACTTGCAATTCTTTAAACAAACTGAATAATACAAGACTTTTTATATCTTTAAAAATACAACATGAAGGCAACATCTTGGAAATAGTTAAACATTTAGCATTTAGTATTTATGATTAAATGCTGTTCCTAAAAGTTTCACCATTTACCTTTCAAATAAGTTTGGGAGATGTTGAAACCAAAAGAAGAAAACTTTCATTGTGCTCTAAGCAAATATGGAGTGTTCAAAGCAGAAGATTGTTAGCTTTCTGCACATTGTATTTTACTAGACTGAAAAGGGGGTTTGGGGTATGTGAGGTTTTTGTGTTTTGTTTTCTCCTTCTTTTTTTGTTCCTTTTTTTGCAGATGATAATGACTGAGTTTCTGGTACCAGATATTGATATCAGAGCACACAAGTCCCCACAATGTAAAAAGTCAATCTGATGATCAGCCAATTCAAGCCTGGAAAGGTGACCCAAAACACTAATGCACCAGAAAGGTATTCTGAGGGGAAAAGACACCATGCACAAAGACAGTGGCAGATTATTTTCGATGTAGAGTATGAAAATTCAAGGAAAGCACTAGGGCCAAAGCAGTGCCATATCCTGAGGCTCCAATGTTGTCAGATAAGCCCCAGAGGTAACAGTGCACTGTTAAAAGTGCCAAGCTGTGAGTGCAACCAGTGGTGCACAGTTCTGAAACAGACACAACTGGTGAGCGAAGGCAGATGAAAAACTGCATATAAGTGAGAGCTTCAGCTGAACACTTTCACTCCAAAGACCAGAAATAACTGATGAAGCAGAAAATAGAATGAAATACAACAAGGAAATAATGATGGGGAAATAAAATAAATACAGAAAAGAAATAAAATGAGGAATTCATTTAGACTACTTCAGATCCCACAGTCTTGACAAATCCAACAGAGAAATGGAAAAAACTGCTTAAGCAAACACAAAGGTACTATTAGTTGAATGTTGTTGGAGTAAGAGCCTCCAAAGGCTCAGATATTTATGATCTTGCACTGAACTCATGCAAGAGATTAAAAATCCAGAAGAGAATCCAGCTCACCTTTACAGAAAATGAGACATAACCATGACCTGATTGCTACACAGAACATTGCTGGGACAAATCACACTACTGGAGTGCTGTGACTGAGGGCTACAAACTATTCAAAAAGGATAAGCAAAAAATAATAGAGTTGGGGCAATTTTCCACTATGTCAAAAATGAGATTGATTACACAAAACCGCAGCAGTGTGCTGTTCTTCAAAGTCAAGAGCTCACAGATAGAAACCAGAGACTAAGCCAACAGAAATCTTGTGGTTGGGGTCTACTACACATTAACTGATCAAGGAGAGTAGGCTGGTGAAGAGCTCTTTCTTCAGCTGCAGGAAGAATCACATTTGCAGGCCACAATCCCAATACAAGACTTCAGCCACATGGATGTTTGCTGGGAAAAAGGCATAGCCAACTGCAAGCAGTCCAGGAAAATACAGGAGCACACTGAAGGTAAGTTTCTAGTCCAGATGATGAAGACAGAGCAAAGAAAAAGCATTTCTTGACTTGTTTCTCACTAATAGTAAGGAATCTATGAGACACTAAAACTGGAGGTAGCCTGAGCTGCAGCAATCAGGTTCTGGAGGAGTTTTCAGTGTACAGGTCTTGTAATAAGTAGAATTAGCACCCTAAACCAAATACAGCATACAATGTAGTTTGAAAGAAGAGAGGAAGTTAGCAAGATACAGGTGGCAGGAAACATGAGAAAGAAATGTGAATGGCTTGGACAATATGCAAAGGAAGAAAGGAAGGAAGCAGGTTCAAAAAGAAAATAGGAAGTGATGATGTACTGACAATTTAGGACCGTATCGCAGAGGTAAACTGCAGAAAACCTGCAGAGATTTCAAAAGGAAACAGGATTTTTCATCTGAGGATTTGCTTCAAGGATATCTGTTTCTATTCTTAGCCCAGGTAGTGAGATGGATTACAGAGTTCTGCAGGTAAGATTATAGAGGAGGTATAAGATGAAAAAAGGGAATTACAGTAATTTCACAACTATAAGGTGCACCCTTTGGACTAAAACTTTGGTCTAAACCCGGAAGTGCGCCTTATAGTCCGGTGCGTCTTATATAATGTACAAAGTTGCAAAATTTGCCAACCCGGAAGTGCGAGCCATGAGCCAAGCCGCGAGGTGGGGGTGGTGCCACAGGAGCGCCAAGCCGTGAGGGGGGGCGGGAGCAGGCGGCCACGGCCAGCAGGAGCCGTGCAGGGCAGGCGGGACCGGGCAGCCCCCAGGCAGCAGGAGCCTCATGGGGAGGGAGGGAGTGGGCAGACCCAAGCTGCAGACAGTAGCAGGTGGCCCCGAGCCACCCTGAGCCACCCCAAGCTGCGGGTGGTCCTGAGCCACCCCGAGCCACCAACAGTCCTGAGCCACAGGTGGCCCCAAGCTGCCCCAAGCTGCCCCCAGCTGCGGGTGGTCCCAAGCTGCCAGTGGTCCCAAGCTGCAGGCGGCCCCGATCCACCCCAAACCACGGGCAGCCTCAAGCCACCGCGAGCCGTGGTGGCCCTGAGCTGCCCTGAACCACAGCAATCCTGAGGTGTGAGCTGTGGCCACCCTGAGCTCCACCTCGCCAGCTGGGGTCGGGTGGGAGTGCCAGGGCCCGTGCACAGGGAGGACGCTTGGGGCTGCATTTAAAGGCTACACCAATCTGTGAAAAATGTTCGCAAATTGAACACCTGCCAGTAAACTCCATGATGGCGGGATTCCGTTACCAATTCGTTTCTTTGTTGTGCGCGGCACGGATCTTCGCTGCAAAAAAAAAAAAAAGTGCCCCTTACAGTCCAGTACGCCTTATATAATGTACAAAGTTGCGAAATTTGCCGACTCCCAGAGGTGCGCCTTATAATCTGGTGCGCTTTATAGTAGTGAAATTACTGTAAATGGAAAGTAAAGACAAACAGGCCACAAGATTTCAACCCGCTTGGACAGTGCACTCAAACAGAGAGATGTGATGAGAGTGGGAACAGAAACACAGACTGGGATCCAGGACTCCACTGCTCTGAGAGGAGTCCTTGACTTCTGTGCCACACAATATCCTTCTCTCTAAATGGGAGAGACACACATTAGACAGACAAGACTGTCACATTCAAAGGGTTGGGCTCAATGGCTTGATGGTCCCTAGTGGAGAGCAGGGACAAGCAGATTCCTCCAGCGTTGCTGTGGGAACTGGCCCTGCTAAACAGTGACATGGACAGTGCAAGCAGAACACCCTCAGCAAATCTGCTGATACCAAGCTGTGTGGTGTGATGGACACATGGCAGGGAGGGGATGAAACCCAGAGAGATCTTGACAGGCCTGAGAGGGGTCTGTGTGGATCTCATGAGGTTCCATAGGGCCAAGTGCAAGGTCTTGAACTTGGGCTGGAGTAATTGCAAGTACACCATAAACTCAGGCTGGGCAGGAAATGGATTGAGAGCAGTACTTAGAAGTACTTGGGATGTTGGATAACAAACAGCTTGATATGACCCAGCCATGGGCACTGGCGGCCCTGAAAGCCAAACACATCCCGGGCTGTGTTAAAAGATTTTGGGCAATACGTCAAGAGATATGATTCTGCCTCCCTGCTTCACTTGAACGGAGCACTCTCCCCCCACCTGGATTGCTTTGTCTAGCTCTGGTGTCTTCAGCAAAAGAAAGACACTCATACTCAAGCAGAACCTGAGGAGAGCTGCAAAAACATCCAGGGAGCTGGAGCATCTTCCTTGTGAGCACAGGCTGAGAGAGTTAGGGTTGTTCAACCCAGGGAAGAGAAGGCTCCAGAGGGAATCTTAGAGCAGCCTTCCAGGGGTGGCTACAGGGAGTCCAATGATAAGAAGAGTAAGGGTTTTAAACCGAGTGAAGGTCAGATTAGATATCGGAAGGAAATTGTTTACGGTGAGGGTGGTGAAGTACACTACAGACAGAACAGACTCTCTGGATATGCCGTGGCTGCCCCACCCCTGAAAGTGTTCAAGGCCAGTCTGGACAGAGCTTAGAACAACCTATTGCTGACAGCACGGGGGGATTAGAACTAGGTGATGTGTAAGGGCTCTTTCAACTGAGACACTCTGATCCAAACACTTTTCACAGCTTATATAAGCAGCTTATGAGGTTTGTAGGGAGTTATTTTTTAGAGATAGAGAATAATTGCGTTTTACAGCTTTACTTTATAAAAAAAGTTTGTTTTCCTTGGTGTTCAATCAAACACAGAATAAGGCAAGAAGGGGAAACAGGAGTTTTCTGCCTTGTGTAACGAGGAAAGGGCATAAAGTGTTTCAACCAATGAGACAGTTTACCATGTAATCTTATCAAAAACCCTTGGACCTTTCCCTTTGACTCCAGGGATGTTCTTTTCACACTATGTTAATTACTGTTGCTGCAACTGGTTAGGAAAAAATAGTTACCTCTGTCTAATGGCCAAACAAATTAACTTATTAACCTGTCAGAATCTGAATGCTTCCAATGTACTATACTACCTGTATAGATAACAAGAAATTTGAACAGAAACAAGCTTATTTTTTCCATTTGCTTTCTCATTCTTTCCCACCTGGTGGCCTTCCATAAAGGAGTGACCACAGCAGTAGATAAAGAAAGGATTACAAGTGCCATTCATCTGGACTCCAGCAAAGCCCTTGACAGCATCCCCCACAACATCCTCCTCCCTGAATTGGAAATGGAGTTGATGAGTGGGCTGCTAGACGGCTAAAAAAGTGGTTGGATGGCCATGTTCACACTGTGGGGGATAAATGGCTCAGAGTCTCAAGCAAAGGTGAAAAGCGGTGGCCCTTAAGGATCCCTGTTGGGATCAGAACTTTTTAATGTCTTTATTAGTGAGAGAGATAAGGGGATCAAGCGCCCCCTTTGGAAATCTCAGATGACACCAAGCTGAGCAGTGCAGTTGACATTCCTGAGGGACAGGATGCCATCCAGAGGGACCTGGACAAGCTCAAGAAATGGCCTCTGGGAAATCTCCTGAGGTTTAATAAGGCCAGGTGCTGGTGCTGCACCTGGGTCAGGGCAATCCCTGGTGCCAGCCCAGGCTGGGGATGAAAAGATCGAGAGCAGCCCTGCCCAGAAGGACTTGGGGGTGCTGGGGGTGAGAGCTGGACATGAGCCAGCCAAGGGCACTCCCAGCCCAGACAGCCAAGTGTGTCCTGCGCGGCATCCAGAGCCCTGTGGGCAGCAGGGGAGGGAGGGGATTCTGCCCCTCTGCCCCAGTCTGGTGTGACCGCACCTGCAGAGCTGCCTCCAGCCCTGGGGTCCCAGCACAGAAAGGATATGGAGCTGCTGGAGAGAGTCCAGAGGACAGGCAGAGGTGATCAGAGAGATGGACCATCCCTGCTATGAGAAAAGGCTGAGAAAATGAGGATTTTTCAACCTGGAGAACAGAAGGCTTTGAGGTGACCAAACTGTGGCCTTCCAGTCCCTGAAGAGGATAAGAAGGATGGAGAGGGCCTATTCACAGTGGCACGTGACAAGGGGGACATGGTTTCAAATTAAAAGAGTGGTTAAGATTACAGATTAGGAGGTAGTTCTTTAGTGTGAGGGTGGTGAGGCCCTGGAACAGGTTGCCCAGAGAAGCTGTGGAAGCCCCATATCCCTGGAAGTGTTCAAGGCCAGGTTGGATGGGACTTGGAGTAATCTGGTCTAGAGGAAGGTGTCCCTGCCCACAGCAAGGGGGGTTGGAGCCAGATCATCTTTAGAGTCCCTTCCAACCCAAGCCAATATATTAATATTAATTATTAATTAATTAATATCCATATATTAATATTTTATATTGAATTGTTTTCACACTGTAATTACAATCAGCAAAATTTACATTTTTATTTTGGTGACAGATTTTATTTCTGACACTAGTCCGAGGATCCTGTAGCAATGTTAGCAGTAGATGCTGAATCATCAGTCAAATAAAAAAACCAGAGTCATCAGCTGCTTCGGGAAGTACAGGTGCAAGCACATGACGACAAACAGGGCATGTTCCCGACTACAGAAAGAGAAAAAAAACACCATTTAGGTCATTTGCACAGTTTGCATTCAATTCTACTGAGAAGCTAAAAGTTATTTTTAAAGTTTTAGGGTCTCCACAACAGTTCTACTTCAAACTCAAATTTGACTGCATAGCTACCTAGAGTTGACAGGTAACACAAACTCAGAAGAAAGACTTGTTTTGCTTTTACACCAGCTACACAGCAAATGCTTCAGATTCTCCTTCACAGCATTGATTTTACAGATGGGACCTTTTTTTGAGGCAAGGATTAAAAATAAGTTAGGTACAGACCAAATCTAAGAGGAAGTGTTTTGTCCTAGTTTTCAGCAATAGCAGTTTACTATGACAAGAGAAAAAAAAAAGGCAGGATGCATAAAACAAGAAAAATGAGTATGGTAATCAACATTACCAAGGTAAAAAATATTACAAACCCATCAACCCTCCACGCTAGAAGTGTTCTGATATGACCCCCAGGGTACAATCTATCTTTCCCTTATATTCCTGAGCAAACTTTGTTACACTGTAAGCTCACTGAGAATTACCAAGTCCAAGCCTGCACTGCACATAAAGGAGAGTGCAAGCACAACTAAAAAAAAACAAAAAACAAACCAGTTCATTAATTATGGTTGTTTTAGCTGTTTTAGTCTAACTTCAACATCATGCAAGCCTTTTTTAGGCATTTGGAAGGAAACTGATTACAGATCATGAAAATGAAATTTAATATCATACAGAATTACTAAAGGTAATTTCAAAAAATTTAATCTGCAAGCATTTTAGTATTTCCTCTGCCAACCTTAGCAGTCACAATAAATGTGACATAAATGTCACCATGACACTGTGGTAAGACAGAGCAAACCCTGTGCTGTTCTCAGAGAAAATGATTCCATCATCTTAACTTCAAGGTAGGAATATAGTAAAGAAAGCTCTTCTTATATCAAAACAAGTTATAACTTATCTATGTCTTTCATTCTTATTAAAGGAAAACATGTTTTTCCTTACAGAAATATTCCCTTTTTTATTAAAAAAAATTGCCCTTCAGGTAAGTACAAATACAAATTTCTTTCTTCACTTACACAAGAATTTGATTTCATAACACATAAATTCAACAGCCAGTTATTTCTTGGTATTTCATCCCACATTTTCAAAGAGTTAAAGTTGTTCTTCCCAGAAGAATACACAAAATACACAATCCCCCCACAAATCCTCCACCAATCCTGTAGTACTTACTCTCTGTAACCAAAGAGTTACACAAGGTTTGTGAAACAAATGACGACAGGGTAGCTCTGTTATGATTTCACCTTCCACATAGTCACTACAACAGATAGTACAACACTGGTCTTGACCTAAACCCAAAATGAGGAAAAAGTATTAATACCTTGTTTTACATTTGAGATAAGCTCAAATCAAAAT